TCCAAGGCTGACAGAGAAAAAGGCACTCAAACCCTATTTTGGCAGAAGGTAGCTAGATTCATGGTTCCTCTGTAGGAAGAAGGGAATGTTCAGCTCTTAATCTGATGCAGCTCTTCTTTATTTCTGCTTGAACATTCTGTCCAAACATTTGAAGATGGTAAGCAAGGCACCCCATTTCATTTCTGTAATGTGGACTCCAGTTGCCTAGTTGCCTGCTTTGGGTGGGACATCCTTTATGGTGTACTTTAGCTTCATTTTTATGACCTGTCCTATGTCTGTAGCCAGTTTATTATTCCTTTTAAATTAAAAAAAATAATAAATTTTAGTAGATTCAAAGTTCAAAAGGCACAAACGGATATATCAGTAAAAGTCTTCACCTTGTGTCCCAGCCATTCAGTGCCTCCTCCCCCTGCAGTCACCAGTTTCTTAATGTAGCTTTGCAGTGATGTCTTGTGCATATTAAGTATATTTATTTTCTTTCTTTTTTTATACAAATATTAGCATATGAAACATTTTGCCCATTGCTTTTTTTTCCCTTAAAAATATACCTGCAGGGCTTCCCTGGTGGCGCAGTGGTTGAGAGTCCGCCTGCCAATGCAGGGGACATGGGTTCGTGCCCCGGTCTGGGAGGATCCCACATGCCGCGGAGCGGCTGGGCCCGTGAGCCATGGCCGCTGAGCCTGCGCGTCCAGAGCCTGTGCTCCGCGGCGGAAGAGGCCACAGCAGTGAGAGGTCCGCGTACTGCAAAACACAAAGGGAATCTATGCAGCTATTAAAAAAAGGAAGATATATATATATATACCTGCAGACTTTTGCATGTCAGCACATAAAGAACACTGGCTCTTCCTTTTTTTAATAGCTGCATAGATTCCCTTTGTGTATATATTCCATAATTTAGCCAGTCTCTCATTAATGCTTAAGATGCTTCTAATCTTGGTGCTGTTCAAATCGTGCCATAATGAATAACCCATGTCGTTTCCACAATAGAAACATTTCTGTAAGATACATTATTTGAAGTAAAATTGCTGGATCAAAAAGGAATATCCATTGTGATTTTGAGAAGTAATTCAAAAATTGCCGCCTGTGGGGGGTTGTACCAATCTGAGTCAGTTTAGATTACTCCAAGTAACCTTCTCTAGTCACGGGCAGCAGAATGCCTATTTCTGCTGTTACAGCTTCCCAGCTGAGAGTGAACACGGGATCTGTGGGAAATCACTTTTATAATGCCCTTAGAAGCTGACGCCGCCTCCGCCTCCCAGAGCTGAATGAGGGCTGCTGACGAGTGTGTTCTGTTGGTCCTGTCTTGCTCAGGCGCTCCAGGAAGCCCATCGGGTCCTGAAGCCAGGAGGACGGTTTCTCTGTCTGGAGTTCAGCCAAGTAAACAATCCGCTAGTATCCAGGTTGGTATTGTTAACAGGGCTTGATTTTCATCATCTAGCCAAGGGTTTCCCATCCCAAAGTGGAAAGAAAATAGCCAGTAAGCTACAAGCATGAACCTCATAGTTCAGTGTCCCAGAGTCCCTGAGGGACAGTGCCACCTCTGAGGTCTGAATGACAACACCTAGGCCAGAAGGGTCTCAAACCAATAACCAGAGACTCAAGTGGGCCCACGTATGTATTTTGTTTGACTCATGGTATTTTAAAAATTGACTTAGATGTCCATAGTTTAAAATCAGGAAATTTTACATAAAAATCTAGATTTCCAGCTTCACTTGAGAAATCAGATATATGGCAACCCTGGTTAAGCCCATATTCCCACATAGCAATAGTCAGAGCTGAGTAGTAACTGCCCTTTCTCCACTTTTCTGGTACTTCCTAACTGTGCCTGTCACCACACCCTCACTACTCCCTAGGCTTCTGCACCTGGCCCACTTCACTTATTTCAGGTACTTGCTTGACCCTTATAGGCATTTGAGTTTATAATCCCAGGCTTAGACCTTCTTGCTTATTAATGGTCATGTTCTAATCTTAATCTTTTGCCTTTTTGTTTAGGCTCTATGATGTATATAGCTTCCAGGTCATTCCTGTCCTGGGAGAGGTCATTGCAGGAGATTGGAAGTCCTATCAATACCTTGTAGAAAGTATCCGACAGTTCCCATCTCAGGTAAAAAACTTCTGTAGCTTACAACAAAGGCCCTACAGTTGAAATCCAGGCGATTTTTGCTGTATCCTTCTTTGTGTTTTAGGAGGAGTTCAAGGAGATGATAGAAGATGCAGGTTTTCAGAAGGTGACTTATGAAAATCTAACATCAGGCATTGTAGCCATTCATTCTGGCTTCAAACTGTAACTCCTTTAAGATCCTGGAGTATGAACCAGTCACGTACTGTCAAAAGGCTGGAGCCGAAGGATAATGTGGTTAGTGAGACCAGCACAACATCTCCTCTTAAGGCTGTGCGCCTTGGACTCATGTTCTGATGTGACCAGTCTCAGAGTGAAAGAAACAAGCTTCTATCACTTTATTGCAGCTTTCCTTTGGGGCTGCTTCAGGCCTTCTCCCAGAGGTATTTGGTCTGTACTTTTTGCTTAACTCCTACTAATTTTTCTTGGCTCTGTAGTATGTGGTTAAGGAAAACCAGCACTGAAACTCAGTTTTGAAGTGTATCTGTGGCTTCTCTGCCAGTGCTGCCTTCCAGAGGGATAATGAATCATTAGAACCCAATGATGATTTGAACCAGAAAACTTCCTAGCTGTACCCAAGTCCATCTTTCAGCCTAGGACTAAGTCTGGGGCCAAAAGCCGAGGCCCAAATTAGAGGGCTAAGGATCACAACTAGAATTGTGCCCTGAAACACTAAAAGAGTTTACAATTTTCAGGGGTTTTGTCATTTTTTTCTTGAGGGAGGTGAAAGAAATACACTTTCATCATTATTCATTCAGTCCTCTTCTACCAAAAGCCACTATTGTGTCCTCAGTGCCTGTCATGAAGGAAACTTGACAAATCCTTGTTGAAGGAATAAATGTACCTGATTTCACGTCTTACAAAGAGCTTCTTTGTCAGGATACGTTTGAAGTCAGGATCTTATAGCCAAAAAAAAAGTTTGATAACTATTTGTCTAGCCAAACCCCCTCCAGTACTCAGAAGAGCTGGACAGAGCTCTTGTCTCCTTAATACAGTCCACTCTTTGATGTTAAAATGAGACCATAAAAAAAAAAATGAGACCATAAATATTTTCAGTGCAGATGAAACTTAAGGGTTTTTTTGGGGGGTGGGGGAGGGTTGGTAAGAAATTGCAGAAATCAACCTGTGAGTTGGCTGGCAGTTGAATTGCAGAGACCTTAGTTCAAGGCTATTTGAAAAGTCTTCAGATATGCTGCCTCTCGCCCCAGCACAGAAGGGTTCATTTACCCCTTCACGTGAGTCACGACCTTCACTCACAAGATTGTGCCCTTGTCCCTGAAAAGCTTCCAGATACAGCACTCTATATACACCTGTCTCAAAGAACAGCACCTAAGAACGATTGATAAAATGCTAAACCTTAGAAAAACTTTTAAGTTTTGTTTTCAGCCAGCTGGCGCCTCTGAAATTAACAAGGAGCAGGCACTAAAAAAACCTTCATAGGTCATCAACCCAGTCCTCTCTCAGTGGCAATGTGATTCTCATATCTGAATCAAGAAAGAAAAGTTAAAAGCTGTCACTTCCTGGCAATAGATATGGGCCTGATGAAATTAGAACTCCCATTGTCCAGCTGTTTGTGGCCTGAAGGCAGCTGGAGACTGGAAGTAGAGCTAAAATCGACAAGATTGATGCAGCTTTGAAAGCCAAACACCTGTTGGGCTTCAAATATAGCCAGGTCACAAAAGAGGAAAAGGAGGTAGAAAAAAGATGTATTACAGGAACATTCTCAGTCTGTTCATATAAATACAAACCTAAACGACTGCAATTGCAGTCCCGTTCCACAGTACCTCCTCTTCCTCTCCTGCAGAAAGCAGGGGAAAAACTTCTCCCACTTGAATTGCCATAATAGTAAAACAATTGTTTGCCTCTCTACACTGAAACTTTCTCAGTCCTAACATTGATCAACTTCACTAGAACTTTTAAGACCCCAAGTTCTGGTAAAGAAAAACAACCTCCCAAAGATGTTACAGACCTAATATTGCTCTCAAGATGGAATCATCAGTCAATTCAGATCTATCACCCGCTCTGTGTAGCATTAGCCTGGCTGCTCAGACACCCTAATTGTATCTAATAGATCCAAGGTCTAAAACAAAAAGGCTTACCTCATGTGAACACTGAAAACAAAGGGGAACTTAAAAGCCAGGACCTTCCTTGCAGCTTCCCAGGATGGGCGTGGGTTGTCTCAGCCTCTGGAATATTTCCTATCTACAAAAGCCAAGTCTGCCGTATTCGCTTTTATTCATAGAAAAGATGTCTTCCTAAAACTGATAGCAGGAAACCGTTAATGAAGTTTACTTATCCAGTTTTAACTGGGTCTTTTAGTGAAAGCTTCAATTCACATGTGAACACAGCTAGTTAAAGCACAGCACAGCAGGCTTATAAGTTTAAATTCCTGCAGACTTTATTAGAATCACATGGAGGGCTGCCTCAAAAGATTTCCCTTTTAAGACCACCTTTAATCTTCAGAATATACTTTGGCCAAGGCAGGGGAGGGGAAATTAGTCTAGAGCCCAACTTTCTTATTAGCTTATTTCCATTTTACAACCATGGAACTACTATACATTCATCACCACTTGAGGCCTAAGGCCCAGAACACTCTATAGCAGTATCTTTTAACAAAATGAGCATTTAAGGAAAGCATCAGATTAGGAATAAGAGTTAATTCAGTAGTTTCTCTGCCATGCATTTCTTAACATGCACTTCTGAGTAGTATTCTTCCATGCATAACAGTAGCAGGATGGGCAAGAATGAAACTCAAGAGCGTTGAATAGGCTAGTCTATTATATCCCACAGAAACTTCAAGGAATCACCCCCACCAAACTACCCAAGATCAAACAATAGGCCATCTTCAACCCTAGATTATTTGAACAAATCGTTATTAACGCACACTTCTCCAACACATTTATTTCTTTAAAGGAATGGATTTTGAAGAGAAAAAACATGGGACAGAGAGGTATGGAATAGAAAATAAATACAAATGTAAGCTGTTTTGCTAATTGCTTTATAACCACAACAACCTAGTACAGAGAATGCCCTGTACAAAACAACACAATAAAGATCGAGGTGTTCCCTTAGGCAAGGCTGAAGATATCAGTCTCTGGTGTTTGGAATTTAGGCTGCAGTCCTTGTTTTTGGATGGATCACTGGGTGTGGCACAGTCCATGCTTTTAACCAGATTTGAACAGGAGAATGGCCACTTGGCCCAGGTAGAAGTAGATGAAGTGTTTGGTTTCATGTGTCACATAACTACCGAAGTTCCTCCCCACGATGCAGTGCCAGGTGGGGTTGTATTTCTTGTCAAACTCCTGGGGGAAGGGGAGGAGAAAAAGAACACAGAATTTCAGTGCTAAACCAGAGGTCAGAGTTTGCCTCCTTGATAAGCAGAACAGAAAGAAGGAACGTCAGCATCTGCAAATTCTTAGAATGAAAGAATGTTCCTCAGCTCCAAATCGCCTACATGGTGCATTAATGCAAACACACTTGCAATCTGAGCTAAGCTGGGAATGGGGGCTGGGGAGGTAAAAGTCAGAAAGGGCAACCTCAGAGACAGAGCGCTTTGTTATCATGGCAATTACACCTTCATAACTTCTAGAATATTCTTATTCATTAACAGCAGGTGACATCAGTTCTAGTTTATCCTCTAGTTTTTAAACAGAACTAAACTATCCTCCTATTGTACGACATGCACCTACAAAAGCCAAGAAAATAGTAAATATTTAGCCCAAAATACCCCCACTATAACTCATTTCAGTATTATTGAAACAAAAGACTTCCGAAAGAACAAAGCCTCAATGAGCTTCTAAACCACTGTGGATCAAAATTTAAACGGACAAGACACTTGGCACTCCACTGTCCCTATAAAAAGAATGCTGGAAGCAGAACCTGACAGCTACCTGGGCAAATTTTATCTTTCTGTCAATAGCCCTTCTTCCCACATCTATCCTAACAGTGCTAATCTACCACCTGGTCCTCAAGGAGAGCAAACTGCAGTAACAACTTTTCCCTATTTTCCCCACCCCCAGAGGCGCTAGGTTTCACTGGGTAGCTCTAGGCAGGGGCCAAAGCTAGTCCTTCTCTATGAAAGTACTACAAGTCTCTGGTGAGTTTGGCAAAATTTGGCTACTATTGTATTGTACACAGCAAGAATGTCTTTTAGATTAAGGGGAATAAAATTCTTACAAACTAGACCAACGCACTGCTGCTGCCTCTGTCAAAAAGGTATTTATTTCTGCTCCATCCGAAGTCTTTCATCTTCTCATTCTCGACTAGAACCCTCCCACGGCTTAGGCTGCCAGCTTCCTTCCCTTCTAGAAAACATAGCTCGAGAAGTTGGCAGGCCTGCCAGCTTTCTACAGACTGCCATTTACCAATCCCCCAACCTAGTACCCAGCCCTCACTACCACCCACTTTCCCTCAACTGCCGACTGACTCCCCACTGAAGGCTGGCAAGATCTCCCTTCGGCCCTGCTGGAAACACCCACGCAGCTACCCCCCTCTCGAGCACCCAGATGGATCCTGGGCGCAGCAATCATGCAGAAGGGGTGGAACCGCTGCTGCCTGATCCTAGAAACCGTTACTAGGTGGCGCTTTCCCCGTGGAGCTGGGTAATTAAAAAAAAAAAAACTTCGAACGCTGAGGGGCCGATCTTCAAGAGAAGCGCAAAATTCATTTGCGTCCTTTTCTGGAAACCTCTACACCCGCGCTACTTTGCGTGCCCCCCAAGTATCTCTGCCATTGCTCGGGGGACGCAGGATCGAGGAGAAGGAACTAAGTTGTGACTCGCCCCAGCTGAGCGCAAACTGCCCGAAACCCCACGCCCGCGCCCTGTCCTCACCTTCTTGATATGGGCCGCAATGTCCTTCTCTATATTATACTTCTCCAATGCCTGAGTAGCACACTCCACCGAGTCCTGTTGCATCTCCTCCGACATATCGGCATTTTTGATCACGGCCTTTCGGTCACACATGGTTACCTGGGGGGGCGAGGCCCGGGCAAAGGGTGAGGAGTTGGGGTATGGGCTGCGCCTGCGAGGCGCCAGCTTCCCCGGCCCGCTCCGCCCGCCCCACGCCACCCCGGGACGACCCCCCCCACCCCACTTCTCAGGAAGCGCGGGCCGCGCGGACCGAACGGCGGGATAAGTCCGGCAGGGGACGAAGCCAGATAGTGGAACCCCCCCGAGTCTCTCACCAAAGAGCAGGGGCTGGCCGACTGCAACGGTCTCCTGGGGGAGGGGCTGGCGAGGCTCAGACCGGTCGAGACGAACGGTCCCTACTAAAGCCGTGGCGCATCTATGGAGCCCCACGCCACCCGCCGCCGCCTAGTACCTAAGCCCCGCCCTGCTCCCGCCGGCCCCGCCCCCCACCGAACGTCCCTATTGGCTTGACACAGCCCCCAGAACTCTCCCATTGGCCCATGGACTCAATGGTTCCCTCAGGATCTTTCTCCTGCATTTTGTTGCAGACCAAAATGCACCGCTCTCGGCGTCGGTTGCCCCGGCAATGGGCCGCACGAGATGAGCCCAAACACCCCGAAGGCGGTGCTGGGGTGGGGTCGCGAGGACCGCCCAGCGGCTAGAGAGGTGCGAAGGAAGCTTCCGCCCAGGTCAAGAGAAGTGATTCTAAATTTACGGAGGTTGTCCCAGAGTGCGTTCTCGAATAAGTATTGTCTTTGGAAGTTGGGTATCCCACGTCCCTTCCTCCCATCCCAGGTCGGAAGGATTTACCCTTTCTGACTGAGGTAGCCAATCGCTTCACTAGAAGGGTATCTCTTAAGCAGGGCTGGCTTCGTGGGCAAGTGATCCGTGCAGTCGCAGAAGAGGAGCCCCAGGATTTGGTTTAATGCTCTGCTGTCTCATTGTTGAAATTCGTATTTTTTTTTTAATACAAGGGACGCCACATTTTCATATTGCATTGGGCCATGCAAATTATTCAGCCGGACCTCCTCTGAACTATGGGAGTGCGGGTGTCAGAGGTCCTCAGAAATGGGAGAGGGTTTCCTTATGAATTAAGAGATTATCCCCAAGAGTGGGGTCTCCCTGCTGGGCAATGCAGACCTCATTTAAGGGGGTGGGGAGCCCTCCGGGTGGATTTGGGAGTGTTGATCCTGGTGGTGTGTGTCCAGGGTGGGGCGTCTTGCTCAGATGAGGCAGTCTTTCCTGTGTGGGAGTTTCTTGGTGGGGATTTACCTCTAGGGCGGAGGTGCCCTAATGAATAGAATGGCATCCCTTAGAGGTATTTCCTCTGGTTTAGGGAGACTAACCACTAAGTGGATAAAAAAGCAAGGACTTGGGGAGCAGGATCAGATCTGGATTTAAATATTTAAATCCTAGCCCTGTCATTTTACTAGCTGTTTGAACCTCAGTTTTCTAATCTGTAAAGGGATTAAATATAAAAGGAAACCACTTCATAGGCATGCTGGGAGTATTAAATAAACTAGTGCATTTGAAGTTCTCAGCACAACTTGTGGCACATAGTAAGGGTTGGAAGAATCTTACCGATGGCTGTCAATTTATGGAACTGTCCCAAGAGTCATGGCAAGGTTTTGAACAACCAACCCTTAAATACCTAAAATGTGTTTTTGAACTTGCATAAACAAGTTATCAGTTTAATCATGTAACCAGAAGCTTTCTGTTTACATTTCTGCCTGTTTCTACTTGACCACCCACTCTCATTAATCCAGAGCCCCTTACAATTTGATCAGAGGCACACAATGCCAAAGAGAAACCAGCTGGGAATAATGAGAAACTCCGGTACAACATATGCATATCAATTAAATCAAATTAAGAGACTTTTCCCAGTTTCAGGTTTCCAGTGGTGGGATTATGGGTTGGAGGAGTTAAAGTAGTTCTACACAGAGTCGCTGTTGGGGAAGAAGTTGTATTGGCAACAGGAGTGAGTCTGGGTTAGTGCTTCTACCTGACTTGCTGACTTGGATGCATGATTCAGAACTATGGAATCTAACGATGATGCCAGAACCTGAATCTCTCTTGGGGGCCTTTACTTTTCATATGTATATAGTTTTTTTTAACATCTTTATTGGGGTATAATTGCTTTACAGTGGCGTGTTAGTTTCTGCTTTATAACCAAGTAAATCAGTTATACATATACATATGTTCCCATATCTCTTCCCTCTTGCATCTCCCTCTCTCCCACCCTCCCTATCCCACCCCTCCAGGCGGTCACAAAGCACCGAGCTGATATCCCTGTGCTATGCGGCTGCTTCCCACTAGCTATCTACCTTACATTTGGTAGTGTATATAGTTTTAAACCCTCTGATCTATGGCTTGGCCAGCTTCTCCTTGTTTGAACAGAAGGAGCTGAGAGTCGTTAAAGGGGATGAGGTCATAAGAACAGCAGCTGTGTATTGAGTGGTTGCCTATCACCAAGTGCTTGGCATTTACTCAGTTGCTCCTCACAACAGCTGTGCCTGGGACCCCTTTCCTCCCATCTCCCTCCTGGCATAACTTCTGCTCATTTAGATTTGAGCTCAGATGCCTCCTTCCCTAAAGAATCATCTCTACTTACCCCCTACCACCACACTTCAGTTACTCTCTACTGAAGTAACTTTTTTATTTCCTCCATTGTACTTGCCTCATTTACTCCTTCAGAATAAATTCACATGAATTATCTCATGTATTTATTTGCTCAGTTATTGTCTACTTGTCCCTGCCTGTCTTCATCACTGCTGCATCTTCATCATCGAATCCAGCATCTGCCACATAGCATGCACTGACTTAGATATGCATTGAATTAAGAATTCCAGGTCTTATGTCCCCAGTTTACAGATTAGGAAATTGACTTTCACAAGGTCAAGCTGTTAATAAAGGAAAAAATTCCAGGTCTGGATGACCCTAAAGTCCATTCTCTTAACTTCAATATTACTTTAATACATTTAGCTGAGGAGACAGTGTGCCTTTTTCTTATTAATAACTTTGAAGAAAAGGAGTTTGGGACGGGATGATGTTAAGGTTTTCTAACAAATAAGAGGATTTTGCTCGATAAATGCCTGTAGGTTTTTCTCCATTTGTAGCACCTGCCTTCCCGAGCATCTTCTGTGTTTGCTGCTCATCTCAACCAGCTCTTGACCCTAATTATTTTCTTTAAAAGTGAAGGAAGAGGGACTTCCCTGGTGGTCCAGTGGGTAAGACTCCACGCTCCCAATGCAGGGCGCCTAGGTTTTATACCTGATCGGGAAACTAGGTCCCGCATGCATGCGGCAACCAAGAAGTCCACATGCCACAACGAAGATCCCACGCACAGAAACTAAGACCGGGCACAGCATAAATAAATAAATAATTTTTTTAAAAAAAAAGTGGGACTTCCCTGCTGGCGCAGTGGTTAAGAATCCATCTACCAATGCAGGGGACATGGGTTCGATCCCTGGTCTGGGAAGATCCCACATGCCATGGAACAACTAAGCCCCTGCGCCACAACTACTGAGCCCGCGAGCCTAGAGCCCATGCTCCGCAACAAAGAGAAGCCACCGCAATGAGAAGCCCACACACCGCAGCGAAGGGTAGCCCCCACTAGTCGCAACTAGAGAAAGCCTGCGCGCAGCAACGAAGACACAACGCAGCCATAAATAAATAAATAAATATTTAAAAAGTGAAGTAAGAGCACTATCAGAAACTCATGCTGGGACTTCCCTAGTGGTCCAGTGGTTAAGACTTCGTGTTCCCAGTCTTCCCTGGTGGCGCAGTGGTTAAGAATCCACCTGCCTTTAAAAAAAAAAAAAAAAAAAAAGAATCCACCTGCCAATGCAGGGAACACAGGTTCGAGCCCTGGTCCAGGAAGATCCCACATGCCGCAGAGCAACTAAGCCCGTGCAACACAACTACTGAGCCTGCGCTCTAGAGCCTGTGAACCATAAGTACTGAGCCCACGTGCCACAACTACTGAAGCCCACACGCCTAGCGCCTGTGCTCCGCGACAAGAGAAGCCACTGCAATGAGAAGCCCGTGCACCACAACAAAGAGCAGCCCCTGCTCGCCGCAACTAAAGAAAGCCTGCGTGCAGCAACGAAGACCTAACACAGCCATAAATAAATAAATTAATTAATTAAAATAATAAAGACTTCGTGTTCCTAGTGCAGGGGGCCTGGGTTCGATCCCTGGTCGGGGAACGAGAGCCCACATGCCGCAACTAAAAGATCCCGTGTGCTGCAACTAAAGATCACGCATGCCCCAACAAAGATCCTGCACGCGGCAACTAAGACCTGATGCAGCCAAATAAATAATAAATATTAAAAAAAAAAAGAAACTCATGATTTTCTGGCCTGTGTTTAACCCCAAGAGACATTTTGGGGATATTATTTCTAGGAACCAACGGCCTTTTTCATTCTGTTACCACTTATTTTTGCAGAATCATTTCTCACTTCCTGCTTATCGCACAGTGAGGCAGGTAATAAATATCCGCTAGTTGTAAATGAAATGTCTGTTCAGGATTTGGATGCTTGAAATATATACCCAGAGTCAGTTACAGCCCCATCCTCAAGGAGTTTCTAGTCAACAGCAACCTAATCTTTCCAATATCATGGGTTTGGGGGTTTGAAAGGGCTTTAGAAGTACAGGAGCCCAGCAGGTAACATTAATGAGTGAGGTGAGGTAGGTGGTACAATAGGGAGTGGAGGGGACTGTGGCAAATAGAAAAGCCCTTTTTTAAAAAAAAGTATTTATTTATTTTGGGCTGCGTTGGGTCTTCGTTGCTGCACGCAGCCTTCCTCTAGTTGTGGCGAGCGGGGGCTACTCTTCGTTGCAGTGTGCGGGCTTCTCATTGCGGTGGCTTCTCTGTTGCAGAGCACGGGCTATAGGCGCGGGAGTCAGTAGTTGTGGCATGTGGGCTCAGTAGTTGTGGCTCACGGGCTCTAGAGTGCAGGCTCAGTAGTTGTGTCGCACAGGCTTAGTTGCTCCATGGCATGTGGGATCTTCCCGGACCAGGGCTTGAACCCGTGTCCCGTGCATTGGCAGGTGGATTCTTAACCACTGCACCACCAGGGAAGTCCCTAGAAAAGCCCTTTAAAAGGTGCCCAGGCAGATGTTGCCATTTGGGATTGTTGACCCAGTGTTGCTAAAATCATCTGATTTTCAAGAGAGACCAGAAATCTGAATTATTTTTATGGGAAATATCATCATTTTAATGTTGGTCACAAATTCATTTCTTAAAACACAGTGCAGTCTAGATATGGCCTATGGGCCTCCAGTTGGCAACCTTTTATTCAGCTGAATACTCTCTTTTTGTAATCAGAAGACAGACTCAAAGAAGTATAATAGAACATATATATATGTATTTGGTCTTTGTCCAAAGATCCAGGCACAGAGCTCTTAAACCCTTGAAATTA